AAAGGCATGGGGGTCCTTGTTTGTGTAGACAACAAAGAGCAAAGCTGTATTTTCCCTCTAGGTTCTCTGGATCAGACAAGGTGTTTCAGCTTAGCTTAGAATCGAACAGAATTGAATTTGGAAGTTGGTTCAGAATGGAAGTCAGCTCAAAATGGAAGTTGGAAGTCATGGAGAACGAAGTTTATACTAGGAACAACTTTCTGAAACCTTGTCCCAACAGGTAGATCTCGGGAACAACACAGCATTATCTAACATGGAACATTGAGCTACAAGTGTACAGTAATTTTAACCCAAGAATTATGTCTGGAACAAGTAATACAAGAAATGTTTCCTGGATGTAAGTGACTTTCATCTGAGCAGAAATTCATGCACTTTAGGACCTGATAATAAGAGGATAAATCATGCAGTGGCACATTTAATTCACATCACTTTCATAATTTATGCACTACCTCAGCTATCCCGCCAACTAAAACTTTTAGCTAGCTAGATTTAGCAGCGATGGTTAGAACGGAAGTTACTAGAATGGAAGTCTCTACAATGGAAGTTTTGAAGTTTTCTACGATGGTTTTTATGGCCCTAAAAAGCCACCGTATATAATGGATGCCAACTCTATAGCAAAGGTATGGGTTAGCGATAGCCTCGCACGCACAGTTTTACAGAGCCTTTGGATAGCTATGACAATAGCTACTTATACCAAATGTGGTGCATATTTTTATGACAAAACATTTGCTGAAAAATAGAACACAAACACATTGTTTGAAATGCATTACCGATGGCCAGGGAGGAAGATTGAGAAAGAGAAAGTACGGGTTTTAGATTTTGGGAAGGCTTTTGTCACACAACAGATAATCCCTCGTACATCAGAAATTTATGTGGACCTACTCCAGCACTCATTAGCATAGTATTATACACAAGTATAGACCGTTGGATTGAGAAGCCGCTTCACTCCCTACCTACCCACAGCAGTTGGAGGTGTCCTATGTGTCATGCGTTGAAGTACTTGTTCAACGTCATTGTTTTGTTTGTATAAGCACCAGCCATCAGGGGAGCTCCTCAGCAGATAGGTCTCAGGTTTCGGTCCCTTTAATTAATCTCCCGACCTGTGCCTCACTACAACTGAGGCGGGACCTAAAGGAGTCTGGTAGGTAGTATGTGGTAGGTTTGTAGGTTTGTTAGCTGTTCAGTGGTTCAGTGTGTTTTTTTCAGTTGCATAGGTGTTTTCCCTCGGCGCGCATGCGCAGCGAGGGTTACAGTGCTTGGTCTCTGTGTGTGTGTGTGTCTGTCTGTCTACGACTATCTTCGCACTACAGGCTACGAGGCGGCTTATGAGCGATACCAACAGCTTCAGCGGTACAGGGGCTAGAGAAAGAAAATGGCGTTGCGTGGCCCAGCCCATCAATTAGCGGTGCGCATGCGTATTATACGCGGTCCTCCACGCGGCGCGCACTTGCCAAACCGAGTGTGTGTCTAAAGCCGATATCGGCATGGCTTACGTCGACCAGGTTTAGCCCGCTCAGCGCATAGTGGAGGGATGTGTGTGCAGTCAAGCGTTGCTCTCACAGCTCGCTACCACTGATGCAACTAGCCTGTGTTATGGCGAGAAACTGGCTCCGTCGACTCATGGCCCAGCCCAGCAGTTTACTCATACTCCCTCAGATGTGTCAACTGTACTGACTACCATCTCAACTGGCTTAATACATTGGAGTAGCCTTTGGCCCACTCACACTGTTCTGCCTCTTCATCTGTCCCTCCCTACCTTCATGGGTTTGTGTTTGCTTGTCAGATGATCACTTCTCACACATTGGCGAGACTCATAGTTAATAGCAATGCCTTCAATCCCTTAGATAATGGGAAAACTTCGATTCTCTTATCTAGGATGTATCTAGGTTTGGTGAGCATTTGGAATCTGGAGTTTTTCGGTGAAGAATACGAGCCATTCTGCCTCAATTCCCACATGACAATTGTAGAGGCTCTTGCTCTCATTATTTGATTGGACTTATTCCCTGTTTCTCGGTGCTTGTGGTGTTTCCTACTTGTCAAAATGTACAGTAAGGTGTAACACTATTAGTCAAACTTTGGAGACCATTCACAGCAGTTCTTAGACTGTTCTTACGCAATCTTCACATTCAAACATCTCTCATTGAATTGTTTGCTACGCTGTATTTCCTGTCACCCATGAAGATACATAGTGTTAGTATTGATCTTTTAACACCTACTACTCTTTACTTTGTCAATTGAACAAAAAGCAACACATATTACCTGTACTTGGCTGGAGACGTGCGAGTACTTGGCAAACGACATCTTCATATGCAGTTCTTGCTCTACTACTTCTAACATTCTTTAACACTTCTTCCTGCCTGCTTCTCTTTTCTTTACCCTTGTCGTTTCTTTTTCAGCAATTCTTGAATAGCATAAGGTGCAATTTTGTGACTCTATATAAGAACATTCATGGACGTCTTTCAAGGAAACTACAAGGACGGAACTAACAATACGAAAGACTTGCGATGCTTTTCTGGCATGTTTTTTTGTGCCCGGTTCATAATAGTAGCTGGTTTTCTACTGCTGAATTCTCCCTTCTTTTGGATGATTTTTCCAACCACAATCGCAACACTTGGTTTTAGTATAGCTGTCTTTCGGCCACAAAAAACATTCATACACTACCTTCTTGACCTTTTGGTTCCTATCCCTTGTCGTATTTATCATTATTGGACTCACTTTACCGGACACTAACTCCATATCAACAGAAATCGACTTTGTATTTCGCGTTATAGCCCTGAGCTTACCCTTCTTCTATATTATTTTGCTCATGGGCTACTGGGTTTGTATCAAGAAGAAATTCCTCAGACCCTTGCAAAAGTGCTTTGGACAGAAATGTAGCAGAGATTTTTATCAAAGCAAAGCCCTTGTCGATGTACAACATCATATAAGAAGATTGTATTGGAGAGTTTTGTTGTGTGCTGAAGGTAATAATATATTCCCAACATACTAAGTCTTGTTTGATATCATCTATCTGACTCATTATTGCTTAAATGTGTTTCTCACGTTTGTACTTTCCTGTCAAAAGAACGTGGCGATACAAAGAAGGACCTCTTGATTATAAATAAAACCTATTATTTCCAAACTGGTGTGAGTATACAGTGCCAAGGTAGCATCAACAAGGTGTGTTTCCTCTGGCATGTAGATAATGCTTCATAAAAATAATGTTTTCTGAAGAACATGAAAGTTATGGTTATAGGCTATAAACACTTTCAGATCAGTACTTGAGCATTTTTCCCCAGGGGAAATGCACCCATACGAAAACACTCAACTTTTCCTTAGTACGCTGTTCATAAGGAAAGTGTCCTACACAAAAAGTGAAGAAAACATCCCAGTTACAAACATGCATGTTGTAGCTACTTGTGCAAACCTAGCTATGTGTACACCTAAACCATGCAGGTATTGTGCTTTTTGACTCATGAGTATATACATAGGGGCCTGTACTGTCAATAGCTATGGGGCACTTGGGAGAACTTAACATTAACGTGAGAGAGATCATTAACAGCAACGAAAGAGCATTAGCAGCAACTTAACATTAACGTGAGAAAGAGCCATTGCTATATAGTCACTCCAAATCAACTACAGGGGTTTCACGTCTGCCCTGGCGTGTTCTCCGGGGTATAGCTATATAACCAGATTCACAAAAGTAGTCTTCTCCGACAAATGGTGGGGGTAGCCTTGAGTAGCCTTGATCACAGGGGCAGTTATTGCTATGACTACTATTTTCCCGCGACCCAGCTGTAAAAGTCCAAATGTGCATGTGTACTCATTCAGAGTTCTGTATTGTAATCAAGCTCGTTAGAGAGATCTCCATTTTCTTGATAGCGGCGCAGTCTCTCGAGGGCGAAGCTGTGTAAATACAAGGTGATGAGGACGAACATACCATGCCAACTGTGCCTGAACAAGAAGACGAGGAGAAGGTATAGCTAGCCGCAGCCATCTTCGACCTATAGGACCAAGTATGCCAGGACAAGGTGTGCCTCATGAGGGAATGGCATTATGCAGATGTTGCTCAAAATGGAGTATAGCTAACAGAAACGTTTTTCTAAAGTGTGAATGTGGAGACAATAAGTAGCTAGCCTATAATATACCTCATTTGTATGATCGTGTGGAAAGCAAAACATTGAGGCTGCTAAAAACTCTGTGGCGACCTCTGACCTATACACGTGTACGGCCCTGACCTATGTACACGTGGCATAGAACATTCAAGAACTTACGTAGAGCATAATAATGTGCTTTGTGAATTAGTCAGATGCTATTTTGAGTCGCTACAACTCAAGTAGCTATAACGAGTTTACGGTGGAAGTGGATCTGCTTGGCCCATGGGGGTGGAGTTCACTACTTCTATATAACATGCTCCAAACAGAATAAGATAAGTCACTATTATAATGCATGTTTAGGCCAAATACTGTCATAATCGGGACTCCGTGCACGTGTAAGGAAGAATTGAAATTTTTTTTGCATTTTTGTACAAACTTTCTGCACCACTCTCTCATGTAGCTATGCAGAAAGATTTGAGAAATATCGCAAGGGCCACTCCTACATTTTTAGTGGAAATTCTGGCCTTTTTTCACCAAAGTGCCCAAAGTGATGCCATATTTTGGCCTTTTCTTTCGCTGTTTTCTACTATAAGGCGACATGATAAGTAAGGGTTCGATATCATGGTGAGCCCTGAGGCCAGTTTTAGTAGCTACCCGAAACACTGCAACCTGCTTCAAGCTTCTGCAAGCTAAAGACACCACTGAAACGGTCATAATAAAGTGAACATGAGAAACTCTGCTAGGTTAGTTTAATACAGTAAACTAAGTAGCTATAGGTGGTTTAGGATTGCAGTAGTGCAAACGTCAGGCTCAGATGAAAACCCTAAAAGCAGGGAGCGCGACACTGGGCATGCGCGCGCGCACAGGCGGCATGCATAAAACACGAGAGCTGCGTAGCTAGTTATCGCTATGGAACCCAGTCCCTACGCCGTGTCTCTCGCCGCCATCCCTCGCCGCGGCTCCTCAACTGCAGGAGTATGTTTTGCAAGACGTGACTGCGGGAGAGCATGTCGGAGACGGAGCATTCGGTGTACGTTACCAAACTGTACTACACGGAACGCTGGTAGCCTGGGAAGACGCTGCATAATTATTCTGCTGCACTGCTCATGAAGGAAACCTGAGGGAGAAATTCGTGCACGAATGTCGGCTGTTGAAGGACCTCCGTCACCCACATATCGTGCAGTTCTCGGTATCTGTTTCCTTGAGCACTCGATGCAGTTCTAGTAATGGAATTCCTCCCTTATAATCTTCACGACATGCTTGTAGAGAACCCGCGGATCCCCATGTCCATGAAAATGTCAGTCCTGAACGAACGTCGCATGTGGTCTCGCGTACACTGCACAGCCAGACTCCCCCGTCGTCCACCCGAGACCTCTCAGCAAGAAATGTCTCCTCAACTCTGCGCTCGTAGCCAAGATAGCCGATTTCGGAGTGGCTCGTATTATTGACCCACAGCATCTGTCGCGCAACTTAACATCTATTCCAGGGGCTGGGGTGTACATGCCACCCGAGTCAGCTTACTCTGAATACTCTATCTCCTACTCCAGCAAACTGGACATCTTTTCTTTGGGGTTCTCCTGCTGTTTGTAGTGACACAAAAGTTTCCCAAAGATCCCCTTCCAGCAACTTATATGGATGCCAATGAGTTGAAGCCAAGAAATGAGCTTCAGAGGAGAATGCCATACATCAGTCGTGCAGAGCAGGCACGTCTTTTGCTTATTTCATGAAGCCTTGATAAACCCGCCCCCTCCCTTCTTTCTTTTCGTGTGAAAGTGTGAGCTGTTAGTTACACTCTAATGGAATCCTTATAGTTTATATAATAGTATAATAGTGCTGTTTTTGTTTGAATGTGTTCTTGTTGTGTGTATAATTATACAGGTGTTGGGAGATGTTGACCACCCTCTGTTGGCAATCGTGAGACAGTGTCTTAGTAATGCGGCCGAACGCAGACCCACTGCCCTGGGTATCCTGGAGAGGGTGAGCCAGCTGCGGGCAGAGGTAGAGGATGACTTCATGGAGAGAGGCAAACTTCAGATGATTGTTGAGTTGCAGAGACTGGCAATAGAGTGTGAGGAACTGCAGGTAAACAATCTCCTGGTTGATGCTCCTATAGCTGCCTACACAATACTGATGTAATTTAATCTCTTGCGTATAAATTTTTGCCATGCTTACTTAGAAAGGCTACGGGTGTGCATAGACATTGGTGTGTATTGCCTTTACTCCTCCATTAAAAATGTGTTCTCAGTCAGCTACCTCAGAGGTCTTTGGTATACAGGGAATCCTGTATGAGGATGAGCTGGGCATGCTGGTGGCTGAGAAGGAGAGGCAGATTGGACAGCAGGAGGAAGAGCTTCGTAGACTCAACCAGGAGCTGGCCACCACTCAGAGAGAGCTTCACTCGGTCCAGTCCACCGTGACTCACAGAGAGAGGGAGAAAGCTGTTAGTGGGCGTCTCTCTGTTTGTGGTTGTGGTGTGTGTATATAAGTATTCACTTTCAGTTTCTGAAGGAACAGTTGAGCAGAGTTCAGGCTGAGTTTCTCTGGAAAGAGACTGAGCTAACAGGTCTCAGGGTAAGCTGTTTGCAGTGCCCACTGCACCATGGACTGATCTGATTCCCCCAGGATATGTTGGGGATACAGGAGAGGGAAGAATGTGAGGCGATTGAGCACCAGTCTTGTCAAGAACAGCAGGAAAAGCCAGAATCACTGGTAATGAAAGTCTATTGCACTATTATAATGAAAATCCATTTACGGCGAAAAATACGTGATCATTGTACGCAACCCGCCAGTGTAACACACGCGTGCGTTTATTTCTCGCTTCCTAGAAGTAAGCGAATACTAATTAGCACATTGGCTTGTTAGCTTGCTTTTCACGCCATAACTTCTGAACGCCGTAGTTATACGAAAATAGTCTTTTTTTAAATGAACCTGTTGGTATCGCTCTTTCATTGTCTCGTTGCGCGTGGTTGCAGAAAACGTGGTAACAGACAGACAGACAGACAAACTTACCGACCAAGTTCAGTAACCCTCGCAGCGCATGCGCGCCGAGGGTTAATAACAGAGCTAGAAAATTTCAGCATCCCACTGCCTTCAACTACACGATCTTGGTATGCAATATTGCAATGGCGATCAGTTTTTCACAACATAGCTAGCGTCTGAATGCAAAGTTATTCCGCTAGGGAAAACATGCACAAACAAAGCACAGTGTATACAATAATCGTCACTTCATGTGTTTCACGCGCCTGTATCTACTTAAGGGACTTAAACATTACTGAGGGTCAACAAAAACTGAGACTAAAAGTAAAACATTACTCTATTATACCATAGTTATTTATCGACTACCTTATTTCCTCTCACTGCAAACTGTTAATACACAGGAGCTACAGCTAAAATCCAGTGAGAAGGAGAGGCAGATGCTTGTTCTACAGTTGAGAGTAGCAAAGGAGGCCATGAGGAGACAGCAGCAGCATATTCAAGAACTGGGACAGAGAGTTAGTCTAGCGTGTTATGTAGGCACTGTGGGCATGCATTCTCCTGACTGCACAAAACTTACTTGTGTGTGGCATGAAAAAATACCCATACCCATTGTTTTAACACCATGTGCAATACATTGACCAGATGTATCTGCCAATGTAAAAACACCGTTGTTCTTTTTGACTGCAGGAGGCTGAGCTGCTAGAGGCTAAGGACAGGGAGCTCACTTTAATTCAGCAGCGACTGTTGACACAGGTATAAAGTAGATATGCAATTAACCCTGGACGGTCGCGGACCGAGTTTCGTGGCCCAACCCATAGATTAGCTGTGCGCATGTACGAAATGCGCAGCGCAGCCGTGTCCGCTCCCTCTGAAGGCATAATAAGTCACAACGATGGGCATGTATCCACTCCCGGATGCTTTCTACTACTGTAGCTAGTCCATGTCAGACTTTCCTCGAGCTACTAGCTGGAGAAACGCATACTGATAGCTCAGCCAATCGATAGTGGTATGGCGCATGCGCAGTTCGTCGAGGGTGTGCACTTCAGTGCTTTTCGTTTTGACAAGCGTACCACAAAAAACCGGGTAAGTTATGGAGATGAGAGTTTAAACAATGATTTTGGTATACATGACAGGTTGTGTAAGAGCTTATTATGTACATATACACAATGAAAATAGCCTCATGCCATAGCTACATAATGATATTGACCAATAAAAGTGTGTGAACTAGTCCCAATGTTAGATGTAAAACACCCACTAAGGCTCTCAACACTCCATTAGTTATCACTAGTTGTAGAAATACCAATGTGGCGCCATGGGTTTATGGATGAAAGAATGATGCCCCATGAGATTGCTGCTATATATAGGTTAGACGCGGAAGCGAGGTGTCTACGCTACATTGCAACCCGAGGGGCTGTGGAATGTTGGCGTCCCGAGCGCAGCGAGGGCGCTACCCACATGCCCCGAGGGTTGCAATGTTGCGTAGACAACCGAGCTTCCGCGTCTAACCGGTTTAGACCGGAGTATCTGATTGGTGTTTGCGCGTTCAAATGGGTAGCAACAAGCTAGCAACGCTGCGCTCATTCCTCATTCCTTACCTTCTCCTTACCTTCGGATGGAACAAGACGCTTTTTTTACGTGTGAGACTCCGAGGAGACAGCCCCCGCCCCCCGTCAAAAATCGTTTACGTCATCATAAAACGCCCTCATTGGTGGTGCACGTTTGAAAGGGTTAGCAACGCACGGCAACGGCCCAATGTGTTTGTGTATCGCCAGAGCTAAAGAAGCCGACGCTTTTTTCGTGGAATATTGACGTGATTTCTGACTTTCGCGAGCTCCGGAGACTGTCCACAGACTTCTTGCAGGTGCACTACGCATTTTAAAAGAGCTACTTTGCCAGTCGCGCCTTCTACGCTTACATATACCGAACGCGGAATCGGCCGGTTTGCGCAGATAACGACTTTTGAGAATAGCCATTTTGTACGGGGAGTTTGCTGTAGACCACCTGCAAACGCCATTAGACACCTGAAACGAGGTGTCTATGAAAAATAAACCCCCCGCAATTCTGTAATCTGATTGGTCAATTGCGCGTGACTGCGGTCTAAAACAACATTGCAACACCCGTGGTTAACGTGGCGCCATGGGTTTATGGATGAAAGAATGATGCCCCATGAGATTGCTGCTATAACAACATTGCAACACCCGTGGTTAATGAAGTGCAAATACACCTGTACAACACCCCCATACCAGAGGAAATGAAGCGTAAATCCTTGGATGACACAATTTTTTGAGAAACACAGCTATATTTATTCCAAGATCGGCCCAACACACGGACCCACACCACACAGACTGAACATTCACAGCCTACCGACACACACGTCAGCCGCTCACTGTCTCTATGAACACCTCGGTATAAAGTAGATATGCAATTAACCCTGGACGGTCGCGGACCGAGTTGCGTGGCCCAACCCATAGATTAGCTGTGCGCATGTACGAAATGCGCAGCGTAGCCGTGTCCGCTCCCTCTGAAGGCATAATAAGTCACAACGATGGGCATGTATCCACTCCCGGATGCTTTCTACTACTGTAGCTAGTCCATGTCAGACTTTCCTCGAGCTACTAGCTGGAGAAACGCATACTGATAGCTCAGCCAATCGATAGTGGTATGGCGCATGCGCAGTTCGTCGAGGGTGTGCACTTCAGTGCTTTTCGTTTTGACAAGCGTACCACAAAAAACCGGGTAAGTTATGGAGATGAGAGTTTAAACAATGATTTTGGTATACATGACAGGTTGTGTAAGAGCTTATTATGTACATATACACAATGAAAATAGCCTCATGCCATAGCTACATAATGATATTGACCAATAAAAGTGTGTGAACTAGTCCCAATGTTAGATGTAAAACACCCACTAAGGCTCTCAACACTCCATTAGTTATCACTAGTTGTAGAAATACCAATGTGGCGCCATGGGTTTATGGATGAAAGAATGATGCCCCATGAGATTGCTGCTATAACAACATTGCTACACCCGTGGTTAACGTGGCGCCATGGGTTTATGGATGAAAGAATGATGCCCCATGAGATTGCTGCTATAACAACATTGCAACACCCGTGGTTAATGAAGTGCAAATACACCTGTACAACACCCCCATACCAGAGGAAATGAAGCGTAAATCCTTGGATGACACAATTTTTTGAGAAACACAGCTATATTTATTCCAAGATCGGCCCAACACACGGACCCACACTACACAGACTGAACATTCACAGCCTACCGACACACATGTCAGCCGCTCACTGTCTCTATTAACACCTCGTGACACACACGACAACTACACAGAACCGAAAATACTGGCACGCACACACGTGCCCTAAGTTACATAACCGAACATAATGGTAAGGTGATGTACATATTGGCGATACACTACAATAAACGGTAATTTTCACCATCGGCGCACATGCGCATGGGTTACCGTACTTCATCTGTTAGTATGTCTGTCTGTCTGTTAGCATGTTTTCTGCCACCAAGCACAACGAGACAACAAAAGATCGATACCTAAAGGTTCAGTGCTACACTGGCTTGATTTTGAACTGCGTTCGAAAGATAGTGAAAAACCCATTATGCAAATTAGCACAGGCTTACCTCGACCGGTCCGCTTGCTCTGTGTATCTTGAAGGCATGTATCGGCTCCCGCAAGCTATCTACTACTTTGCTAGCCCTAAACGCATGGCTAATAGCCCAGTCCATCAATTAGTGGTATATACCAGTTCGCCGAGGGTTTGCACTTTAGTGCTTTTCATTAACAATAGTAGAAAATTGTCACTCATTGCATATTGCACACCACACTCACATTATAATTGGCACGAGCCTACCTAGTCATGCCAACGGGCTGCTTTTTTCATTATTTCTTTCTATCCAGCGATGCCACACATACCACTATGTTCTACATGATTCCATATACGTGCAAACCATGCACGGAATATTGAACTGCTCCCACTCACTCGCCAACAATGTGTCGCGCATTCCTCTATTTTGTAGATAAGTGAGAAAGAACAATGTCTAAAAGATAAGGATTCCCAGTTAGTGCTAAGGCAACAGAAGCTTGAGCAGCTGAATCTAAAGGTATGTAAATAGCGTAGTAGTGAAACTGAAGTGGGAATGCATGCAAATACTATTTCAGATTGCTGCAAAAGATGAGTTGGTGTCTGACATGCACCATCACATAGCACAGCTCACAGAGGAACTGCAAAATAAAGCAGAAGAGGTACATAAGACTATTTAGACAGTTCTCATGATCACTAAGTATGGTAGTAGCTTAGAAGGGATGACACAGGTTCTCTAGCATCATGCCCATACATTTGTGAAATCCAGCTTTCATTATGTTGTTGCAGGAGAGGGTAAAAGACCATGAAGAGCAAACTTGTGCCGGTGAAGATAACCCAGAACCTGTTTTTAGCAATACACCACACGAAGGAAATGAGGTGAACCTACACACAGCTAGGCTAAAAGACGTGCTGTTTGTTTCGCAGGTGTTGTTTACTCTTCAGAGTGAATGTTTACTTTTCGTTTTTCATGTTTACATTTTGTTTTGCTATCCATTACTGTTTACCAGCATTGTTAGCTATGGCTACCTACCTTCCCATATGTGTTTACGGTCAGTAGAGTAAAAACTAGAGTGATCACTTGCAATGCTCCTGTCTCTCAGGAAAACCACCAAGATAGTCCAATTGAGAATCCAGCACCCGATTACCAGAAGAAGGTGATAATTATTCATGAGTTGCTGGGTTACCTATATTACTGTTACAGCTAACACTTTAGTTAATACAATGGTTTCAAATAATAGTACCTTAACCTTATACTCTACAAGTTGCCTGCAGCACTGGCAAGCTGTAGCTAATGCTGCATGTCACTTCATACCATGCAACACAAACCTGATTTTGCTTGCACTCCTGTGGTTTTTACTATAGTTGTATGTAACTTTTCGTGTTTCCAGGTACCAGTACCCAAACCAAGAAATTTGAAGAAACCTTCTTTGCTGGTAAGTGACTTGCACATGCATGTTTATATAGGCCAAACAGTCTAGGTCTGCACACTATTGCCTATTCGGCATGGAAAAGGTTCGCTGTGCTAAATATTCTCTAGGCACAAAAGAAAAAGGCCTCTCTCCTGGAAATTGACAAGACAGACCTTGAATTTGGTGACCTACTGGGGGAAGGAGGAGGTGGTTCTGTTTTCCGTGGGACTTGGATGTCAAAAGGTTTACCTGTTGCACTTAAGAGGGTGCGGCTTTCTCCTGACCATTGCGATGCAAAAATTTTAGCCGAGTTGGGCGAACACCCAAATATCGTATCATTTTTCGGTTACTTTCATGAGCATCCAGATACCACTATTGTCACTGCTCTAGCTAAAAACGGGTCACTGTACAATTACCTGTACAAGGATTTCCATGTTCCGACATATCAAAAGAGTCTGAGATGGGCGAAACAGATTGCCTATGGCATGGCTCACCTTCACAAGCTTGGAATCGCCCACCGCGATTTGAAATCGAGCAACATCCTATTTACCGACGACATGGAAGTGCAGATTTGCGACTTTGGAGTGTCGCGATCCATGCCAAACACAACCGAGAAATCCAAAACGGCAGGCACATGGCGCTGGATGGCCCCCGAGATTGTCAGCGGAAAAAAGATCAATATGATGTGCGATGTTTTCTCTTTTTCCATGGTGGTTTGGGAACTGATGGAACACAAAGTACCTTTCCACAGAGAGGCGGATCTCGTGGCATCGATGCGCATTCTCAAGGGGGAACGCCCGCAGTTCACAAACAACTGGCCTGAATATCTTGCAAAGCTTGTCAAGGTCGGCTGGTCAGAAAATCCATACTATCGCCCCACGTTTGCTGATATCATCACCAGCCTTGAACACCAGATTTACTTTAGACATTAACGACAAACAACTATTATTATAATATACTTCCAACTCATGTTCATGTGTTAATACTGTATCTGCTGTTGAACTATTATTATACCCTATAGCAGGAGACAGTCGAGAGAATTAGATTCACAATTTGTTTAATGTGTCCCCCCCCCCCCCACCCCCATGGCTCAAACTTAAAAACTCTGTTGATCACTGATATGATCTACTCTCAGGTATCGTAGCAATACTACCTACCCACTGTATTGCTTTTAACATTATTCATGTACTTGGGATTCATAGCCTACAGACTAAAACTGTACAGTGAGCTAAAACTTCTAGCTCAGTCCACAGGCTCTCTCGCTACAAGAAAACTGAACAGCTCACGCTATATACATAAAAAGAAAGAAAGAAAAAGAGAAAGAAAACAGGACTTCAAAAGGGCTACAATTAACATACATAATCATAAGGGCTTACTTGGGACTAGCAAAACACGCGAGCTGATGCAAGAAGGTGGTGAAATAACTACAACAGACGGTACATCAAATGGTATCAAAAATAATCTGCGATATAAAAGGTATAAAAGGTTTCAAAAATAATCCATACGAACACAGCAGCACAAAAACCATATTATTATATGAGGTAAAACAAAACAAAAGTGTAGGGCAGTACCATTAGAGAGGTCAGCTAGCAAGACCTATAGGCATAGATGGGTGCCCCGGCCTTGAGAACCAGGGATGGTGGGATAAAGAGTCTTTTATCACCAGTGAACTCTCCCCACTCACCCAAGCCTTTCTCACAGTGGTACTGCCCATGGAGTAGTACAATCAACGAAAACACACCTCAATATCGACGACAGCACAAAAACAGAATGACAGAGAGAGACCAAGAGCAAGCAGTTTATAATGCATGCAGGCTAACATGAAGTAAAGCACAGTGAGATCCTTCCACTAAAGGAATGTAGGGCCAGTCAGAATTTATAAACGACGTCGCCGTGTGGTTACGTGTCTGTACAAGGATGGTCGTCCAATATACAGGCAACATATGCCTTCATAAACATGTCTCTTCAGACCTACGTTGTATCTATCCATTAGATGTATATATTTCACATACAACTTCTTGAAACTTGCAACCAACTCATTATAACGGAAACCTTGTTTTATCAATCTGGTAGTAATTATCATATTCCGTTTAATAAATTCATCATAAGTGCTGCATATTCGCCCGAATATGCAGCACTATTTAATCATATCACCTTTGACCCCTGTAAATTTAAGATCACAACAGCGACACTTGCAGGGGGAGAGTCTGGAGACAAGGCTACTTCATAAGCATACATACTTTTCCGAGCCAGTAAGTGTATATATTCTAGTCTGAGTATTTGGATATAGGAGAAAGAAGGTTACAAGACATAGCAAACAGTAGGCTCTGGTAGATGCTCAGAACTTTATTAAAGGAGTGGTTTTTACACAGTGCACAATGTGGTTTAATAGAGGATATATAGCTCCATCTACGACCTATCAGCATAATACAGTTGAACTAAACCTTAGCCCTGTCTCTTGGTGATTGATGGTGTCCGACCACTGATAGACCTCGTTGGCAATGCACCCAGTAAAAGGAAGCTCAGTGTCCAAGCTGTGGTTGTATGACCTCTGTGTGAGTCTCAGTTTGCTCACTCCTGCCCGCTCACACATTTGTCTAGTATCGTGTGCAACTTTCACAATTGAAATGAGCATGCAGGCATTCACACATAGTTATTAATAGCTACCACGATGTGGTAGCGCCTGCCATTCTGAAAGAAAGGAAACCTGGTAATGGAGCAAGCCACAAAGAACCAAATAAAACGGGACAGATAATCAGACTGAACTGTCAATGGAAGGGATGCCAGTGCAAAGTTTCTGTGCTGCAGGGGCAAGACAACCTAAAAAGGTTTTACGGCATGTACCCAGGGTTAGTGGAGTTCAAACGCTGACCTGAGGTATATAGTGACCTATCGACCACTTACCACTTACGCCATTGCTAAGACCATAAAGAAGGTGTTGCACTTTGGATTTTGGTTACGCCACAAGCGTTTACTGGGTATCATCCTCCACAATGGCTTTTTATTTCCCATCTGATAACTTCAGTAAAGATGTTAACCAACTCAGGTCATCCAGGTTACGTTATTTATCATTTTCATTTGCTGATAAAGCCCTCCCTTTCAGGAGAATATAAACCACAACTAAAAGTTTCATTTTCATTCCCTGCTCAACAAACTAAGAGAGTCTACTGGCCTATAAGTACCTGCAGGTTGCTAGGTAACTGCTGTAACTGGCTACCTACCACAGTCATTTGGCAGAGAGAAAGGAGACCTTACAGGTAGAACACGAAAGAGGCTTGGATGTGAGCCAAGTTGGATCTCTATGCAACAAAATGGAAGAAGGGAAGGCATTTAAGAAGCCTATGTTATCCATGTGATGGCTTGCATTAATCAACAGGGTTAGCTATTTCTTCCACATAATATTTTGCGGCCTAATGTTCGTTTTTTCATGCACTACCCAGTCGACAGAGGCACAGTGTAATGGATCAAAAACCAGTGGTTGGCACAGGTATTTAAGATATAAATGCGAAATGCCTCAAAAGCCGGCAAGACCACCACATCCTTCACCAATACCCATCATGGGCCGAACACTATAGCTATGGTTTACATGAGCCATCAGTTTTCCACTCGAGAATTTTCTCATACGCACCAATTTTACGATTTTCTTGTCACCTTAATCTTCTTTCTTCCGCTACATTCTAGTGGAAGAGCTGATTTTTAACATCTCAAGAGTCAATGGATGTGTGTATAGACATCAAGTGATTTTTTCTGCTGATTACCCGCCAGAAAAAGGTTGCCAAATTGTTTTGTGTCGGCATTTGGGCACACAGCAAAAGGTTGTATTAGTGATATTCACACTAAATTAAGATCACATGACTCTCTGCAGGCTCACCAGCAACACAAATTACAAAAAACAACTTTCTCAATAGCAAACACATTATCCTTCTCTTATGTTGTCTGGGTGGGTGACATGTATTCTGCAATAAAATCAATCAGGGACACTCCAAGAACAAGAATAGCCTGTCATAGAAGTGAAAATATTATCACACATAAATGAAAAATAAATCCACCTACATTGGCAGCAACAGTTTCACCAAGCATCTATTAATGGGAGATCAAGATAATTAGGGCTGCATTGAAAAGGACAGAATATTATACCAGAACTGCAGTGGGGAAGTCTGTTAGGTGGGTGAGCGAGGCCTCCCTATTAAAGCACCAAGAAACTCCCTACAGTATCACCCATTATTTTAAAGTGCAAAAGCATACTCTTACCCCCCAGTGACATGGAGGAAACTTGCTATCCCTGAGACAGTACAAGTGAGAGCATCTTTTCTTCCTCCGTGGTTGGGTGGAGTGAGCTGAATAAAGCTGTAGTGTGCGACTATAGATTTGTACCGAGTTAGTACTCACTGTGCCTTGGGCAGTAGTTCACAATAGGCAGGGATATCAATTGAGCTATGGCACAGCCTAGGATCACCAGAGCTGACACCACTATCCACTGACTGCAAATGTGGTGCACTAAATAGACACACATCTTGTACCACGAAATAATAATATGCTTCTAGACTTATTCACGCTGACTTCGGTAGAGTAGAATGTAGGGTGTTACTCCTATGATCATCAGCGAGGTAGCCTCCATAAATATAGATCCGCTGATTATAAACTTCCTTGTTCCCTGTAGTAAGACAAACATCTGACTGGGTTAAAGTAAGTAACTGTTAATTATACATGTGTAGGCAAGTGAGCTCCCAAAAGTTCGCCATAATTACAAGTAAATTAAAAATCCTGCAAATTTAAAAAAAAGATGCATAAAGGGATGGTATAAAAAGAAAGGGAGACAAAGTTTCATCTCCATGAGTGCTACTGTTAGCAAGTTTGAGGAGAAGTGCCTGAAGCTTTTTTAACAATATTCGGTCGTCATAGTTGCCATGGAAATGATGTAATACACATAGGTACCAAGTTTCATCTCCATGCATGCTACCTTTAGCGAGTTTGAGAAGTGAAGAAGTATTTATAAGAAATTTGCCAGAGGCTATTTGTTGTTGTTAAAACGAAGTGGTTGTCATGGAAATGATGTTACACGCATGCCTACCAAGTTTCATCACCATGCATGGTGCCATTAGCGAGTTTGAGGTAATTATAAAGAGGAGTTTGTGAGGCGATTTGTTGTTGTGGTCGTCATGGAAACGATCTAAAACACATGAAGGTATTAGACCATGTGATGCCAAGAGAAAAAAGATGGGAGCTCTGGACAGCTGTTTAGGGCTTGTTGGCCCTCATCAGCAGAGCATACCGCAACTTCTCTCTCTGGTATCACGACGCATATTGTTTGAAAAGCCTCAGGCAATTTTCTTTAAAACTACTTCTTCCCTGGAATGTGCTCCGCCTGCAGGGTGATCTTCCCGGATAAGGCCCACTCCCATACTTGGAGTGCCAGGTCCGACAGGCGTCACTCCTAAAACTTCGACCAAACTAACATCAAGTTTCAGCTCCATGCGTACAGAAAGCAAGTTTTAGGGGTGAGAAGTGAGAAGAGTTTTAAGAAAATGCCTGAGGCTTTTTCAAACAGTATGCAGTCGTCATGGAAACATGTCATTGTCATGGAAATTATATAATAGACATACATACCAAGTTTCATCTCATGCGTGCTGCTTACCATGGAAAGTTTGAGGAGTGAGAAGTAAGTAAATTTAAAGAAAAGTGCCTGAGGTATTTGTTGTTGTTTACAAACATGTATTGTTGTGATTTTAATGTTGGTGATTGAACACATTATGTCTAAAATGTTTCGTTCACATAGCTCTTACCATTTGTGAGTTATAACTGACACATGTGACCCCATTATAATTGTATGGCCTTGGGCTATTTGTTGTTGTTTACAAGCAAATAAGTATGACCTGTCTCTTTGGGCGACGGATATCTACATTCTTACAAAATTTCATTACTATATGTTATTTCGTTTTTGAGTTATGGGTGTTGAATCTGAAGAAGAAGAAGGAGAAGAAGATGAACAAAACTCCCTATCGTAGCCCCATACATCTATGATGCTAGGTATATACCATGCCCATCCCTATGTACTAAGCACTACCGCACTTAGTGATATTTGCTTGTTATAGCAGAGAGAACAAACACACAAACTTCTTGTCACTGTCTAGTCAATCAAGCTAGACCCCCTCTTCCCACACGCACCTGGCGTGGCAACTATGCAGTTCATGCATCCACATGGTCTATTGTTACATGTGCTACAGTCGCATAATTCATAGCTTTTTGCTTTTTTGGTTTTACTTACTGGCAAGGAACTGTGCAGAAAGTAGCGCGACCGCTGTGCGCAAATGCCTGCTGCACATGTGAGTGGTTAACAGCAATTATGGCGTGTTCTCTATGAGAGCCAGCTCTACGCTCGCGATTAAAGAGAGTAGCCATCGAGTCACCTAGTTGTAAAACATAATCACCAATTCAATTCGTCCCAGGATAGGAGCTATAGCGGGTTGTCTCCTAAAGAAAATGGTGATGATTGATGATAGCTATAATACGATGAGGAACCTGAATCTCGTTTTGAGTATAATACATAAGACTCGATATTATAAGCACATTCAACCTATAGGCCTATGTAGGCGTGTTAGCTATCCCCTGTGTGAGATCATGTCGTGTTTGAAAACCTAACCAGTTAGTGTCTTGTGAGATGTGACCCTGTGTGCCATCCTACATGTATAGCTACCAACACCGTAGCTGACTTACACGATATCGGAGAGAGTTTTCCAAATGGAACACACACCCAGAGAACAGAACTGCCTCCCAGATAATACGAAAGCAATTCCTATTTGAACCAGAGTCAGGCCACTCTGATGAGAAAAGCATGCACAGGTAATGCTTACACCATAGTGTATGAGAACAATTTGGTCGTATAAGGCGTTTGATGACTTTTCGCATCAGAGGAAAAGTACGGGTCTACCAGCTACGGAGTGGAGCTGCAGCAATAGTGCAGTCCGACACACTTGTAGGGCATTCTGGCACTGACATCGTAACATTATATAAACATAATAACTGTTTGTAACATGACTTCGTAGGGTATAGGTAGTGTGAGGAAACCATAGCAGGTCGAGTGCATACAGTGGTCCCAGTCCCTAATGCTCACAGGCTTCCACTGCCTCTATGTGGATCTCTTCTTTGGAGCTACAGGTGTTAGTACCCACACACAATGTTAGGTAGATTATACCTTCTCAAGTACAAGACAAGGCAAGCGTTACGTCCATGAATGGTCTTGCAGAGTCAGAGTAAGATATCACAATTGTTAGAACTGGGGAAAGAAGGGCCAGTCTAATATAATACTGAGTAGTAGTACAGGGATGCAGCAGTATGCATATTGCATGGATTTTAGACACGTAAGCACGACTTACGCAACATTGAGAAGTGATGAAATCTCGTAGTAGTTGACTACAACACTGAGGAATGAACACACTTGGCTTGTAAGAGTGACTCTGTGTAGCAGACGATTACGCCAAACTAGACACAGATTACATTGCAAAGATGAGTTGGTAGCTATATAGCTAGCTGGAGGAAAAACTAAGTGGACAATTTTCCTTCAGATGTGCACATGCCTCCATCGGTTATGGGTTGCTCAATCAAAGTCTAGTGCTTATTATTACAGACGGTGGATGAACTGCTTGTTCCTACCCTACACATATTATACCTGGTGGCTTTACTAGCAAGAGAACAAGTGGAGAAAGTATTATGATTATTCCCCCAACCATCCAGAATGGTACATGATAGTCACCCTCCTGTGTAGGTTTAAGCGATGGAAAATAATTAGAGCTTGTTCATTATCTTACCGAGGCAAATAGGCTGCCGATAGGTGGAGCAATGGAATATCCCAAACCTTCAAATCCTAGTAGCAATCCCTGTGAAAAAAATATTACCCTTCATCTTATGCAGTCATGAACCAACTGAAAGTAGTCCGACATGGGAGGGATAGAGGTAGGGAAGTAGTGCTAACGTGGTTGTGTTGCCCATAGCCCACCCCACTCCTTCTGCCGACCGCAGTACTATGCCAACCACCACAAACACTGCCCCTGGAGGCATGTCAGCCAGAAACCTGCAAATCCATAACATATCCGTCATAAAAAAAACTTGCTCCTCTTCTCTACTCACCCTAGGAGAAAATACACTCCACCCAGAAGCAGAATCCCCGACACCAGTGTGAACTTCACTCCCAACTTTGGAAGCTATGCGAAGACATAGTATCTGGCAGCAATGCTCTATAATAATTATTGCTAGGATGGTAGCTAGCTATAATGCTCAAACTCTTACATAGTATCCAAAGACTGGAGACAGAATCACTATAAAGAGTGAAGGGGCTCCAATGATAATCCCAGTAGTGACAGGACTACTACCTTTTTCTGATGCCTGAAGCATAAAAATGGTATAGCCTTGTCAAAAAATAATATGACCTACCTGAATTGGCAAGAAAGGACCAACCAGAGAATAGGCTGCAGCTTCAAAGCCTACCACCAACATCAGTAGACATACAACTAAAACACTTCTCCACTTCTCCCACAATTTTCTAGACTCTCCGCCATCGCTATCGCTACCTTCAACCGCCCCCGAACTACTTTCTTCACAAAGAACAGACTGCAGCTCAGTACCGCCGTTAGCTTTGGGGATCGACAGTACAGGGTCGTGGTGCGAGGAAATAGCAGCAGCAGATAGCATGATGGACTCTATATCAGTTTCCACAAGTCAAGAGGGAGAGCCGAGGGAGCTGCGCGTCGCACGTGATCCGCGTAGCTCCACGCTAAATCAGCTATATCTCGTCTCCTCGGAGAGTTATGGGCTGATTTGCAGTTTCAGGAGTGTGCGTTGACCTGCTGTTGGTGTCTACAGCGCTATGCAAACCCCGTGTTTTTATTACTTTCCGAGCCACTACAAAAACGCTTAAATTTCCTGGCTCAGTGTATGTCAGTATATACAAGTCCACAAAAATACGTGATGTACATAAAATCCCAGAATACTTGTGCTATGTTTGTGGGTTTTCTGTACATCACATATTTTTGTGCACTTGTACTGACATACGCTGAGCCACAAAAATGCCATACACTGAGCCTATAAACCTTGTAATTATAGAGAGCCGTTCGTAGTCCAATGCGCGCGCAATCCCACGGCGCAATACGCATGCGCGGTACCGCTGCCGTTTATTCGTGGTCTCCCCAGACTGTAATTATGGTAGCTCGCGGAGACGCCTATCTACACTATATAGATAGTAGATAGCACGCGGGAGTCGATACAAGCTCTTCGTTGTTATTTCTTGTGCCTCCAAGGTAGCTACACAGAGCGAGTCTATGCAAGCCATATTAGCTTTTTCGCTTGTTCGTCGTCAGTACTTCAGACGTCGACGTCAGTGGGACATCGTCGTTATTGCGCAGACGTCGACGTTTCAGAACGTGAGTCGACGTCTGTGTAACGGTCAGAATTTTTCGCTACAAACGGCTCCTGCAGTAATAATATTGGGCTTCCAGCCTCGTGCAGGCTGTAGTCCGTCTACAAATAACAGACATTGACAAATCCAAACGACTGTAAACACTTGCTGGCCGCATGCGCGGGTGTTGTGTCGGTGAGTTAAGCATTTCTGCACATGGGGAAAGAAGTGATCCTGAGCAAATTGATGAAAAATTTCGTATGAGCTGGCAAACTTAGCTACCTCTGTGAAAGATTGCATCATATCCTTAGAAGGGAGATACAATAATGTGACCCTCAAAACAGTGCTATCTCACCGTGGTGTTTAGCGACTTCAGTGATGAATATCGACACAAGTGCCCACATCTTTGGAGCAGAAGCAAGCTTCTACAGTCTGTGAGATTGTTCACGAAGAACCTATACAGTCATTGTTGAAGTGTTGATGGGCACGTATATGCAGGCAATCAGCTAGAACAGTTCCGAAGCTTTAAACCAAAATGAATGTACTACAGTGTGTGGGAAAAGCGATTGATGGTTGTCATATCCACTCTAGCTGCCCCTGTGCCGCACCATACAGACTATTATATATACGCAGTAAAGGCTACAAGGCATATATTATTGACAGTTGACTGCAGATTATTGCTTTCTGGATATTATGTGTGGGATGGCTGGGTAGTGTGCATGCACATGCGTGTTCGTGTACTCTCCAGCTCATTATGAAAACATAACTGAGAACTATTACTGCCCACAAACCTATCACAGTAAATGGAGTAAATGTTTATATTATATACCCCTTTATTATTATTATTATATTATGGATGACTTTACAGCACACAAAGAGACTAGAATGTGAGAGGTAAAGATGATAGCAATAGGATGTAGTGCTGATGTCTGCTGGAGGTAGTACACCAGCAGCCTATGACACATAACAGAACACACAAACTGATTAGATTTTAGTTCTCATAGGAGAGAGTGTGTCAAAGGCTGGGGGAGAGCTACACGTATCACATGGAACACAGGTAGTGGACGAGTGCATGGATTAAGTCTGGACTGAAGTTTTTATAATGTGAAACGATTCAAACAAAAGGTTCATAGAGTAGACCTGATAGTGTGATACAGAGTGATCTAAATTAAGTAAGGGGGAGTGAGTTCCAGAGGCGGAAACACCTCTCTCTCTCTTTTCTCTGTACAGTTGGTGCAAAGGTCACAGCAGCTGTCCCCAATCCACGGTGAAAGGGTAGCTGATTTTTCCCCTCTGATAACCTCACACATTGATTGAGAATCTCGGTGCTTTAAATGATGTCAAAATTCCATTAACATCTTTTAGTGATTCTGACCACTGATTTTCGGAAAGAGACGGTAAAGTAAAGTGATAAATGGAGTTCTTATAAATAGAATATCTTGTCTCAACTTGAAGTGCAAGGCAGATCGAGTTGGCCCGACAGCAGAATGTGACGAAACTAAGAATGTTAAAATGTGCTGATGGCTCTTTCAAGCCTTTTACGAAAAAACAGAATATCACACACCAATGTGCAAGGGACATCATTAGTGGCAGGCGATGACTCGAGCAAACGGAGACGGATAGTTAGAACAGAGTTTGTTGTGTTGAGAATAAAATTTAGTGGCTCGTCTTTGGACATTCTCAAGAGCTTTAATATCTCTCAGTAGGTGAGGACGCCAAATGGGAGAGCAATAAAGCAGCTTAGAACGAACTAAAGTATCTTATTGGTGACTCAGCCTATCCTCTACAAACCTGGTTAATGAAACCAAATGCTTATCGCCACTTAAAAGACGCTGGCAGTGACTAATGAAGAGGAATGATATGCATGTAACAACATTCCTAATGTTGTAGCTGCTGCATGTCACAACATTTAAGTTACATGGAGAGCAGTTTAACGAGGCCTGGTTGCAGGACATTAATGGAGTTGACAGGTGTTACTCTCAGCCTCAAACTATTGCTGTAAGAGATGGCGCCAGTGAACAACCAAGAAGCCATCAGAGAAGCAAACGCCCCTTATTATTTTATCAGACTTTTGCGTCTTTATGCAGGCCAAAAAGAGAAAACTAAAAGACTAAGAGCCTCTAGCGTCTCACCTCATACAATAATGTGTATAATGTGGACATCCACTATAATTACATAGCTAGGGGGCACACTGAATGACACAGTTTACTACAAAGAAAAACAGTTTAAACAAGCCTTCTCCTTTTCCAGGGTCAGGGAAATGGTATTGGCCCCTCATCAACTACAGATCCATGGTTGTGTAGCAAACTTGTTATGATTTCATGATAATTAATTTTATGCTTTAATGCCACAAATTAAAGGTATGCCCCCAAAAAGCTTGATTGTTTCAGTACCAACTCAGATGTTAAAGGTGTAAGCCACCTACTACATGTGCCAACTCCAACAGCACAGTACTAGCTTCTCTTTCAGACAAAAACAACATGTTACTATAATATTTAACCACACAAACACATGTTAGGGGCTGCAACTAGTACAAAAGACAACTTCAATTGCAGGGAAGAAGTATGGGGTAATAGTATGAATCTTGTCAAGTAGGGACTGGTGATTTCCATCTCCACCGTCATAGTTTCCTGCTCTTTCTCCAGGTTTGTAGCCAGCAATCCCAGAGATCCAGACATTGTTGGCTGGGTTAGCAGGGTCCACAACTCGTGGTCTGCTTGGAAGACGTTCGATTTGTTGGCTTGGTTTATAGAAGCGACGCTTTATATCTTGGATTATTGAGCGACGCTGTCCCCAGTGAACACTATATATTAACAAGTGAGAGTTATAGCTAAACCCTAAGATCCCATTACCTAGTTGGCCACATTTTAATAATTTATCAAGACTGCATTATACAGGCCTAAGCTGAAACAATGTGTTTATTACAGATACCATGCCCTACATAATAACTGTATACGTACACTTTCTTTGATACTGCTAACTCTCGGAACTAA